AAAAAAAAAAAAAAAAAAAAAAAAAAAAAAAAAGGAGGAAAGAGGGCGCGGGATGAATGGGGGAGTCCTGCCCAGGTACCAGCCGCCCTCTGACCTGTTTCCCATCTAAGACGCGCCACCTTCAGTTCAGGGCAGGGGCACGCTGAGCGGGGGGTGGGCCTTGGCAGAGACCAGAACCCCAAGCAGCGTGGCCCGGATGTGCTGGTGACACCGGGCCCCCTCTCCCCTCAGCAAAGTGGCTGTGCTTTTCCATTGACATTGGTTCCTTAAACTTTCCCCCAGAATAAACATATTTACGTTATAAAGGTGAGTCTGTCCGTGCAGTGAGTGTGAGGGGGTCGGGGCGAGGAAGGCCCCGCAGCCACCCCTGTGCTCCCCATCGGCCTGTGGAAGCAGCAAGCCTGGGGGCCATGGGCACGGGCCATGTGCGCGTACACAAACTCGCGTGCACTGTGCACAGCCTTCTGATGAGATCACCCGAGGGTCAGCGTGGAGGTGGGGACGAGTGTAAAATATTCCCAGGAAGATAAGGGCTGGAGAGGGTCATCTGACAAAATCGCTATCATTTTTACCTAAAGCTCCTGGACTTCGAGTGACTCTGACTAATGGAACCCCGACTTGAGACTATTCATCATAGACTCACTTTCTGCACTTAAAAATCTGTCAGCCAGGGGTGGTGGCGCATAACTGTAATCCCAGCACTCCCGAGGCTGAGGCAGGAGGATCTCTGAGAGTTGGAGGAGCCCACATAGATCCACCCGCCTGTGTCCTGATGGCTTATGCTGCCTCACACAGTGCTGTGCCAAGTTCAGGGAAGGTGACAGGAAAAGTCTGTACGTGTTCAGTACAATGTAATTAAAAAATTATTATTTTATTATTTGTAGTAATGGAGATTGAACCCAGGCCCTTTGCACTGAGCTGTATCTCCACCCCTTTTCACACAGAGTCTGAGTCTCTAAATTTTCCCAGGCTGGTCTTGAACTTATGATCCACCTGTCTCAGCTTCCCCGAGTGCTGGGATAACAGGCTGGTACCAAATGTCCCCACTTTGTGATTGGCTGAAGCCCCAGATGCAGGTCCTGTGACAGGGCAGATAGATAGCTAAACCTCCCTGTCACCGGTCACCCATCTCCGGGCATCCATCCACTTAAACGTGGATGCAGAGATGCTCTTTGGTGAAAAGTAGCAAAGCAAAAGTTTTGAACTGCGTTGACTGCGCCCCATCCTTGCCGCCCCCGGGCACGCCGTCCAGTCGCAGGTTTTCTGGGGAGCCCACTGTGTCGGCCGGTGCGGCTCCTCAGTCCTGGGTTCGAAGCTCTGGGCCAGTGGGTGGACGTCCCCTGGGAGTGCGGCATGGGACAGAGGCCAGGGCGGGGCAGAGGGCAGAGCTCAGCGGAGCTGTGAGTAAACGCACGTGAAAGTGCGTGAAACTGCGACTTCACAGCCCAGAGCTCCAGCGGCCCTAGCTAACTGGCTCATTCACAGTCCACGTGCGGTTTTTCCCAGCTGCTCCGAATTGTGTTGTGCACCCGGTTTGTTGAAACCAGGATGCAGGCCAGGGCCATGTGTTTGGTTGTGGTGGCGGTGGATCTTAGTTGTCTCCTTGGTTGGATTGAGAAGCACCCGGGAAATTAGTAAAGCACAGGTCTAGGGAGTCTATGGGTGGCCGTGACAGCGGGATCGTAGGGCTCTAACTTCGCCCTTGGGTTCACCCATCAGGAGCTAGAATTTGAGGGCACTAAGGGGGCAGGTGGAGGCTTAGAGGGCGGGGCCACGTGGTGGGCGTGGCCTCGGGCGGATTCTGATCCGAAGCCCCTTCCTCTCTGCCTCTCTCCCTCAGCCTCCTAGGTATCATGGAGTGAGCAGCTTTCTCCTTTCCCCTCAACCAGCCAGCCACGGACTGAAATCTCTGAAACCATGAGCAACATAAGCCTCTCACTGAGCTGATCGCTAGGACTCTCAAGGTCATCAAGTCTCTTTTATAGCAGGCAGGTCTCCCCTTCTTGTGACGGAGGCCTGTGAAAGCCGGAGAGCCCTTGTTCAGGACTCATCTCTTGTTTCTTTCTGGAGTTGTTTTGTTTGTGTTTTGAAACAGGGTCTCGCTGATCCATTCAAGCTGGCCTCAAACTTGAAGCAATCCTCCTGCCTCAGCCTCCCAAGTGCTGGGATTACAGGTGTGCATCACTATGCTTAGCTACGAGCTGTTATTTAACATGCCCCTCCGTTCCTTGATGTGCCCGGAGGCTGGCAATAAGTTGTAAAGCTTCGTGGATTCGAGTAGGCAGGCAAGGTTCACAGAGGCTTTCAGGCCAGAGAGGAAAGCCAGAGCTTCAGGGCCTCTGGCCTTACAGGGAACGGCACACAGATCTCCTAGGGGCTGGTGAAAACTTGCATTCTCGCTGGGCATGGTGGTGCACAATGGTAATCCTACCTCCCTGGGAGGCTGAGGCAGAAGGATCATGAGTTCAAGTCCAGCCTGAGCAATGTAGTGAGAGCCTATCTCAAAATAAAATATACGGCTGGGGGTGCAACTCAGTCGCAGAGCCCTTGCTTATGGTGTGCAAGACCCCAGGAGTGGGGGGAAGAGTGGATTCTGATTCGGTCAGACCAGTTTGGCTGGTGACGCCCAAGTCACTAGTCCTCGGAGAGTAGACCTTGCTCTGCAGAAGAACCGGAAGGCACCAGGCCGGTCTAGGCTGGTGAGTGTCACCTCGCGCTGGGTGTGGCCGGCACAGGTTGGAGAAGGTCACCGATGATGCTGTCACTCTCTTCTGGCCCCTGGGACCCTGCAGGCAGCAGCTCTTCCCAGGTGCTAAGCAGCCAGTGGGATTAATGTCTCTCCACCTGCGGGGTCTGCACGAGGGGCTGCTTCTGGGAGGACCCTGCCTGGGTAGTGGCCTCAGATGCCCCCCTGGGCAGCACCCCATGTCTTGGCCTGGGGCTCTGGAGGCCTGGGCCGGAGGCGCTGAAGTGGGACAGGAAGGAAGCGGGGAGCAGAGGAGGCCAAGGCTGTCGCCTCCCGGCCCGAGAGGGGCCTGCAGTAAACAGGAAGGCATGGAGGCTCCACGGTGCGCGGACTGCAGAGGGGCGAGGTTGGGGCCACACTGGACATGCGCAGCCTGTGAGCCTGGGGCTCCTGCTCACCCCCGGGAAGCGGCCCAGAGAGGTTGCGTGGCTTCCCCTGGGGTCACACAGCCACTAGACTTTGTCTGCCGCTCCTGTTTCTGTCTCTTCCTGTGGTTCCAGTGCAGGGCCTCCTGTCTGAACTGCTCACTGCAGCTCAGTTTCCCTCTCTCTCTGAGCTCAGCAGCCATACAGCTCGGAGGCTCTGAAGCCCTGGCCCCATGGACCCCTGTGCTTCCTTGGTGGTCCTTGGGGTGCTCCAGAACTCGGGGAGCAGGTGTCGCCAGGAAGACCAACACCGCCTGGGCCCAACATCAGCTACAGGATCCCGGACTCCCTTCCCTGGGGAAAGGGAAAGTGACTCTGAGGGACCCTGCTCTTCCAGTACAGGTCAGAATCTGGTGGGACCTTGAATTCTTTGTCATTATTGTTGTTTGGGGGCACAAAAACCCAGGCTGGCCTCAAACTGGTGGTGATCCTCCTGCCTCAGCCTCCTGACTGTTGGGATTACAGGGGTGCACCACCATGCTGATGGGACCTTACACTCTTGGGGACGTCCTCCCCTCTTCAGAGACCCCATCCCTGGGCTCAGAATGCCCTTACCCCTTCTCTGATTGCCCAGAACTGTGACCCAGGAAAGCTGCTGCAGAAACCCATTCCTCAACCCCACAAGCATGCAAGAGAGGCTGGCCACGGCCAGGCACCCACCATGGCACAGAGCTCAGCCATGTGGAAAGAGCAAAAGCCATGTGAACCTTCTGTTCTAGAAGAAGAGATAGACAAGCTGTCTGTGTGTGGGCTGTGCCATGGGGACAGAGGCTGCTTTAAATGTGATGATCCAGGAAGGCCTCACTGGCCATGTGATATTGGAGGAGGGACCTAGAGGGCAAGAGTGCTTTGAGGAGTGGAGGCAGCAGGTGCAAAGGCCCTGAGGTGGGCTTGTGTTTAGCAGGTTCAAGAAACAAGGAGGGGCCATGTGACTGGAGCAGACTGAGCAAGGGGAACAGAGCAGAAAGTAAGATCGAAAAGGTGAGGGAGCTTGTCGACCATTGGTGAGGCTCCAGCTTTTATTCCGAGTGAAGTGGTTGCCAGTGGAGGGCACTGGACAGAGAAAGGATAAAAGCTGAATCGGCTCTTTTTTAGACAGGGTCTCCCTAAATCGCCCAGCCTGGCCTTGAACTGGAAATCCTCCTGCCTCAGCCTCCTGAACAGCTAGGCTTCCGGGTGTGCACCACCACTCCTGGCTCCTGAGTGGGCTGTAACAGGCTCCCTTGCCAGTGTGGAGAAAGGGGTCAAGGGAAGAAGCAAGGACAACCGAGTGAGGAGGTGACTCTGACGTTCCCAGAGGCAGAGGCCAGGTGGTGAGAAGCACAGCCTTCTAGAAACCCTGGGGATGTGAGGAAAGACCACAGTTTGCCTGTGGCTTGGAGGGGGATGGAGAGAGAGCGTCGAGTTCGATCCTGAGGCATAAGCAATGAAAGAAGGTGCAGGCTCTGGGGAGAGACTGAGGCCCGTGTGGGTGGGAGTTGTGGCTGGAGACAGAGCTGGGTCAGCAGTGCAGATGCCGATCAAAGCTGTCTATCCGTGTGAAGTCACGAAGGCATGCACAGGAATTGCTGGGGTCTTGAGAAAATAAATGCAGGGCTTGGTTTGCTTTGTTTTATCTTCTTTGTATTGTTTTTTGATCAGGGTCTGGCTGTGCAGCCCAGGCTGGCCTTGAACTCATGGTGATAGTCCTGTCTCAGCCTCGCCAGTGTTGGGATGACAGGCGTGCACCATCATGCCTGCATAAAAGGCAGGTTCTGCAGACTGAGCATGGTGGCACTTGTCCACAATCCCAGCATTTGGGAGGGCTGAGGCAGGAGGATTGAAAGTTTGAGGTTAGCCTAGACTACATGGCAAATTCTAGGGTAGTGTGGACTGCAGAAGGAGAAGCTGTCTCAGAGAAAGAGAGACAGAGAGAGACAGAAGGAGACAAAGACAGAGACAGAGAGGAAGAAGAAGTGGGGGAGAGGAAAAAGAGGGAAAAGAAAGAAAGAAAGAAAAATTCAGGTATGGTGCACACCTGTAATCGCAGCACTTGGGAGGCAGAGGCAGGAGGATCTGTCTGCCTGGGCTCCATAGTGAGTTCAAGGCCAGCCTGGACTCAATCTACTGAGACTCTGACCCAAAAAACAAAACAGTACAGTAAAGAGAGTACAGGCTCTGTCTGGCGGATCTGAGGCACGGCCTGAGGGGCTGCGTTTGTCCCCAGCTCCCTGAGGAGATTGAGCAGGCACAATGCAGCAGGTGGCATTTTCTGGTTTAGGAAGCCTGCGGTGGCTGGTGGTCGGTGGGAAGGGAAGCGGCGCTGGGTGGGCGCTGCAAGAGGACGCTGCTATCACCGGGACACAGACGGGCTCACAGACTCTGTTTCCATTAGCCGAGCCCGAGTCCCAGGCATTATTTGTCCTCTGGGCCGGGACCTGACGTCAGGGTCACCAAAGCCTGAGAAAACCTGATCTGGATGAGAGAATCAACAGAGACGGGAAGGGGCCCGGGGCCACCCCTGGGGGTTGAGGAGGAACTAGGAAGGGTGATAAGGTGACCAGGGATGTGGGAGAGAAATGGGACGGAATGTTCTGGACAGTCCCAGATTTGCTTTATCCGCAGCCTCTTCCCAGCCCCAGGGCCTTACGCATCCGTGCCTCAGTTTCCTTCATTGTAAAATGCGGACATGCCGGTCTCGGCCCATGCAGAGGGCTGGGAAGTGGCACTGGCCCCCTTCTAGTCTGGCCCTTCGAGCTCCCCCAGGCCAACAGGCAGCCCTCCTGTGCAAATGAGGAGCCTGAGGCCTGCTCAGTGCGGGGCAGACCCCTGACTCCCGGCCCAGTGCCCATTCCTGCCTGCAGGAGTCCAGCAGCCCCTGGCTCCAGGCCGGTGCTGGAGACGGCAGGCCGCCTGGGGGACCCTGGGGGCCGCCTGGAATTCCTGCGGTGGCCCGGGGCCAGGGCAGACGTGCTCCGTGCTCCAAGCCTTCCTGCCCCCGAGGAGGAGGAAGAAGAGGAGGAGGAGGAGCAGGACGTTCATCTGCCCCGCTGAGCGGTCCAGGCCCGGGGCCTGGCTCACTGCCACGCGTCGTTGGTGCGTGCAGAGGCGGCACCTGGAAACATCTGTCCCCTACAGGACACAGATGGCTCCCAGTATCGCCTGTCGGGCCAGGTGTGGCGGGGCGCAGGGACCACCCTGGGCCTGACGGAGCCTGCAGAAAGGGCCGCCATTCTCTTGTGACCCTGCAGGAAGGAGCCGGGGATGTGTCCCCTCTGCCCCACTCCTGTGTGACCTGCTAACCCACCCGTCCCCACCCACAAGCCCATGTGAACCCCGAGCTTCCTGGGGACAGGGGAACCAGTCCAGGGCTGGGGGCCAGGAGCGCAGTCTGCCTCTCTGTGCCTCAGTTTCCCCAAGACGCCCATCCCTGCCTCTCCTCCAGGGGAGCTTCATACTTTCAGTCGATGCATGTGAAGGCCCAAAAGGCCTCTGGCTCTGGGCAGGTCCACATCTGTGTAGAGGACACCAGAGCCCCTCTCCTCCTGGGGTTCCTAGTATGCAGGGTCACATGCAGAATGGCCCGACCCTGGCTGGGCGCGGAGGGGACACCCAGCTCACAGTAGGAGCTAAGTGACCCCTCCTCACCCCAGCCCCTGACCCCCAGGGGTTCCCAGCTCTTCCCTCCCCCATGAGACCTTGAATCTGGGCTCCAGGGCCCCCCTGACCCCATAGGTTTTCCTCTCTCTGGACAATGCCTGTGTTCACCTGCAGTCTCTTGCTCTCTCTCTCTCTCTCTCTCTCCTTTTTTTTAAGTTAAAAATTCCTTAATTTTTAAATTCCTGGTACCACTACCACAATTTACAGGGTGATATACCTGATATAATGAAAAAGAAAACGTTACACCAGATAAAAGACCTCAGGAAAGTACATCCCATCGATGCTACATTGCATTCATTAATAAGCAACTGCCCTTTTTGCAAACTGTGGCTGTGACAGTCCCGAGCCAGAAGGGTTTTGTCTCAGCTGCAGTAACTTCTCTGACTACGGATCATGGCCCTTCGCTCCTTCTGTGGCAGGTTCACTGTTCCGCTAATGCGTTTAGGACGCCTGTCTCAAAGTAACCTGCAGCTTTCCTGATAACTCCTCGCTCTCCTTCCTGCTTAGAACTGTAGCCCTTTTCGGTTGGTTTTTAAAACCTTCTGGTTCCATACCCACCACATCCACCCTCAGATCCACAAGCCACCACCCCAGGGACAGCCAGAGTTTCTTCCACCGAAAGCGGCCCCTTCGTGGGTCTGTAATTCGATTGCTGTTGACCACTGTTATAGCCAGTCATTATAGTTTCCTCCACCACCACAGCCTCCTCTTCCACTGAAGCTTCCACCACGGCCAAAATTCGCTCCACCACCTCCAAAGTTTCCCCCACAACCCGTGAAGCTGTCAGATCCACCCGCAGGACCTCTTGTTTAGACAGGGCCTCTCCACACCACAATTCTGCCTGTTAATAGTACGGTAATGTCTTTCTTTCCTTTTTTTTTTTTTTGGTACCGGGGATCAAACTTGGGACCTTGCATTTGCGAGGCAGGCAGCGGAACCACTGAGCTACATCCTCAGCCCAACAGTGTGGTATTTCTGAACAACAATTTTACCGACTGTGTCATGATCATCCAAAGTTACAGAAGCAAATCGTCTCGTTTTGCCCCTCGGCCTGTCTTCCGTAAGTTCGATGGTTGCCGTACTTTTCAAAGCAGTCTCTCCACTGTATCTTCCTTAACGCCGCCAACAGAGATGGTGTTCCCTGTGAGACAGGCCCCAGGCTGCACTGAATCCTCCCTAGAAACAGCTCTCCAGTTCCACTCCAGCCACCCGCTTTGTGGCCGTATCCAGCTCTTCAGTGCAAGAGTAAAGTCACAAAGCCAAAGCCCCCGGAGCGTCTCGTCTGGGGCTCTCTCATCACCCCCTGATCTGTGAGCACCCCGCCCCATTTCTCAAAATGTTCTCTTAAGCTATCATTTGTAGTTTCGAAGCTCAGACCACCAGTCAAGCTACCCCAGCTGCTCCGGTTCCTTTGGGTCATGGCCCTCCTCCCCCCTGGTGGTGGCAGCAACCACCTGAGTCAGGCTGGGGACCACTGGGCAGCAGTTTTACCTCCATTTTGAGACAGACGCGCCTTTTCCAACTCGAGTTCAGTATCTGTCACTGGGTTTTTTGAGACAGGGTCCGGCTACGTAGCTCAAGCTGATCTTGAACTCACTGTGTAGCCCAGATTGGCCTTGAACTCCCAGCGATCCTCCTGCCTCAGCCGCCCAAGTGCTGCGATCACAGGCTTGCCCACCACGCCCGGCATCTGCTGCTTTCTGAAGTCATCCTGTCCGTTCATAAACTGAGCGGGAGGGAGAAGGTTTGGGAAGAGCAGTAGATGGGGTCCCCGCTGCCATCCAGCCCCTCACTTGAGGGCCCCTCAGTCCCTGCACAAATGCGCTTGCTCCAAACTCAGCTCAGGAGGTAGCAAAGGAGCCCAGCCCAGTGTCAGGTGGCATTGAAGCCTCTACCACCACTGGGGAGTCATTTAAACCCCAGAGAGACTCCTCTGTGGAGTGGGGGTGGACACCTAGGACGGGCCCTGGTGCAGGGAGCAGCCTGGGGCTGGGTTAACTGTTCCTGCTGCAGGGCTCCAGAAACCCCACAGACCCTCTTCCCCACTCAGCTACCTCGGTCTCCATCTCCACGCTGCAGCCACTCCCAAGATGGCCTGCCGGCAAGGGGGGGGTCCCCCAAACCCACCCACCCATGGGGCAAACCTTCGCCCAGCCTCCATCTGAAGAGCCGCACAACCCTTCCTGGCCTTGCCAGCTCCTGGGGGACAACCCACAGCCTGCCATGGTCGCCAAGGCAAGAAGAACCCAGCCCAAACCCCTCCCTCCAGAGCCCCCCACCTTCTCCTCCCGGAGCCTCGATCTCTCCATTTGTGATCCAGGACAGCACACTAGAAGAGTGGGTCTCTAAAGCCCAGCTCTGCCCACATTCTTCAACTCAAGGACCCTCCGTGGCTCCCACTGGCCCACAGGATAGAGTCCTGACGTCAAGGCCCTCCCAGAGCAGGGCCAGAGTCTGCCTGTCCTGGCTTCCTGTCCCCACCGCACCCCTGCTGTCCTCCAGAGGTCTGTGCCTCTGCCTGGGCCAGGCCCCCTGCCTGGCATGCTCTCTCCTTGCCCCTTCTACTGTTCCTTCCAAGGGCAGCCTGTGTGCTGCCCTCCTGTGGGCTCAGGCCTCCCTCTGCGACCACCCTGGGCCGTGAGAGGTGCCTACTGTGCCCACAGCAAGCATTTACAGTCCCAGAGTGGTCGCCTGGCTGGGGGAGGGTATAGCTCAGCTTCTCCTACACGCCAGGCCCAGGGCTCAGCACTGCAGGGCCAGACCTTGGAAATCTCCTGACAGCTGGAAGGCAGGTGGCACCTCTGGGCCCCGCTTTACAAGGTGGCTCAGAGCAAGCAGAGCAGGGGTGAACCCAGGGCTCCCTGATCTTAGAGAGGCCACAAGAGTCTAGGAGCCTCTCCTCAGGGGCATCTTCTATCCCTGAAGGACTTTCTAGCAATGGGGGTTGCAGAGGGCAGAATCGGGGTCCTTTGCCCTCTCTTGGCCCCAGATTCTTTGCTGTGCCAGTTTGGGGGTGGTCCTTCCTACTCAGTCTTAGGCCTAAATTTCCCTGTCTGCAAAACAAGGCGCCAGCCAGTGTGGGGCTCATGGTGTTGGCTCCGGTGCCCGAGGGGACCTGTGAGTCCCAACTCCTCCTTCCTCTGGACCAGTTTTCCGGCCTCCTCAGGCCTCGGCTACCTCATCTGCAAAATGTGAACCCTGAGGCTGGGCCTAAGCCCTGCTAAGGCCCCTCCAGGGACTGTTGGGGTGACAGCTTCCATCTGGGGGGCAGCCGAGCTTGGAGAGCTGATGGAGGGTGGGGTGGCGGGGAAGAGCCTGCCGCCTGGGCCCTCCCCACCCTCGGGGCCCCCCACCCAGCGACACAGCGGGAGAGCACTTCCTCTCCCCGCCTGGCAGGCGGCCCGGCCCGGCCCCTTCTCTAAGGAAGCGCATTTCCTGCCTCCCTGGGCCGGGCTGGATGAGCTGGAGCTCTCTGCTGCCCGCGGTCACCCCAGCCTCCATCTGCATCCCCG